TCTCTCTCTCTCTCTCTCTCTCTCTCTCTCTCTCTCTCTCTCTCTCTCTCTCGCTCGCTCGCTCGCTCACACACACACACGTTTGCGCGTGCGGGGCACATTCCTACAGCCCCTCTTTGTGCTTCTCCACTTGCGCGAGGCGACTGCCTGCACGCGTCCATCCCAGATCTCCTGATCATACGCCGCGTGTCATGTCTGCCGGATTGGGCGGGTTGTAGTCCACAACGGTGGCTTCCAGTTTGTTCATCATATCCTCGTCGGCATCCGATGAAGGTTCTTCCCCTCTGTAGAGACGATTGTCCAGAAGAGGGGTCCTCACACCGTCGTTTCCAACGGCGTTGGCGGTCACAACGACGACGGTTCGAGACCCTTGTTGCTTTCCTCCCTCCTCATCGTCGTCGTCATCATCTTCCTCCTCCTCTCCCTCCCCCCCCTCCTCTTCCTCTTCGTCATTATAAGTGCATCTCGCTGCGACATGCACAATCAACAACAACAAGGTCATCGGCACAGCCGTTGCCAGGGCGAAAAATGCGCCGTCTTCCACAGTACTTCGGTACTGCAAGACCGTCTCTCGCATCGACCTCCCCACGCCGACTGCCCACCTGGACAGCTCGCTCCACCACCCCTTCACACAGCGCAGAATACCCACCTCGCCAGCGCCTTCCACCACCTCCTCCTCCCCCTCCTCCTGCTCCTCGCCCCGTCGTGGAAGAAGTAACACATCCCTAAATACCATCCCCTCCTCCTCACCTCCACCTTCCTCCCCGCGATCTGCATCTCTAGCGCTCCAGCTATAGACCCCCGGAAAGCGGAACACCTTAGACGAGAGGATGTGGAGGTCGTTGCCTACAAATCCTCCCTCCCATAACGGGGAGGAGGCATCATCACGGCCGCTTCTGCTGCTGCTGGTGGTATCCCCATCCTCCTCCTCGGCTATCGCGACAGGGAGCAGGTCCCGGTCCCCTGGTGCCGACAATTCCCACGCTTTGTTACTGAATACCCCTCTAGCCGCTTCGGCCGCAGCCGCGGCGGCGGTGGTCATCACCTCTCTCTCGCTTACGCTACCATCATCTTCGTCTTTCTCTTGTCGTCCCGATCGGGACAGCCACGACGGCGTTCCGACTTCCATTGCCCGAATGCCAAGTGTACGGGCAAGAAGCAACTTCTTGCGGTCACCGAGGAACGGCGATTGCCTCGGCAATGCGTGCGGAGCGGGGAAGAGGATGGAGAGCAAGTCATCGACCGAGGACGAGGAGGAGTCGCTCGACTTATCACCATCGCCAGCCCCTCCCTCCTCCTCCTCTTGCTCTTGCTCTGCCTGCAGCCAAGGAAACAGCTTCGCCTCCGCTGTTGCTGTGGCTGCTGCTGCTGCGGGCTGTGTCACCTGCTGCTGCTGCTTTTCCTCCCCCTCGGCGCGCAGCGTCCTGCTGCTGCTGCTGTCTGTATCAGACGTCGGGATTCCCTCCCCCGACCCCCGACCCCGACTCGCCGCCATCACCAGCGGTGACATCCCGGGGCCACCACCGTTCGCGGAGATATCGTTGACGTCATCACCGTCTCCTCCTCTTCCTCTTCCAATGATGATCTGCAGCGATCCCGGCCTTCGGCGAATGGCGCTAAAGAATACCGTTCCTCCCCTCAACCGAAGCCCGCTCCCGCCAAAGTGGAGCCCGTTCCCGCCAAAGTGGAGACCGTTCCCGCCAAAATCGGCGGCGGCCTCGAGCCCTCTTCTAATCTGCTCGCTCTCCGGGAGGGCGACGTACGCGCCACATCGCCACGGAAGAAAGACAATGCTGCCATCTCCGGCGACCGGTAGGTTGTCCTCTGCATCTGCGACCACCGGACTCGTCAAAGCCGCGACCCTCAAGAAGAGAGCGAAGCATAGCGTCAGGTAAAAGCTCCTACCCCTCCTCATTCTGCCCACCCAACGAGACCACAGTCCAGAACACGGACAAACGTTCCGACTCCTTCCACTACACACAACTACCTCTCCTCTGGCTATGCCGGCGACCGTTGAAAATTCCCCCCACCCTTTCCCCGCACTCGAGTCCCCCTCTCTTCCCCCCCTCCCTCTCAAACCCACTCTTCCCCTCCACCGCGGCAATCCACCCCGGACAGCAAGATTGGCACCAATCAAGAACCTCGAACAGCAAGATTGGCACCAATCAAGAGAGACGAATTTCAATAACCAATCTAACACGACACGAAAGACTGAGCTACTGGTTAACAACAAGAAAGAAGAGAAGTTCCTCCCTCGGAGCTATGGCGCGGAGCTTCGGAGCTATGGCGCGGAGCTTCGGAGCTATGGCACGGAGCTTCGGAGCTATGGCGCGGAGCTTCGGAGATATGGCGGAACTTCGGAGATATGGCGGAAGCTTCAGGGCTATGGCGCGGAGCTTCGGGCTACGGAGCTTCGGACTATGGCGCGGAGCTTCGGAGCTATGGAGAGAGGCGATGCTGCTTGCACGATGCCAAAGGAAGAGAGCGAAGTAGTTATAAATAGACGTTTACATTGCCAGACGACAATCTTTTTGCTTGGCGATAGTCACAAAGACAGATTGATTACTTTCTAACAAACGTGGACACTACACCTCGTCGAACGAGAGAAAAGGAGCGAGAGCCTATATGCCAATACCCGCGCGCGACCGCAGACGGAGATCGGGGACACCGTTGATTGGATGACGGACGACGGCTCGATGCCACTGCTCGCCTGCTCCCGACTTCCTGTTCACAGACACACACACAAACACACACAAGCACTCACACAAACACGCACACACACACAAGCACTCACACAAACACGCACACACAGAGACAAACAGTTGGTGATTGTATTGGGCGCGCGCGCGCGACTCCGCTTACAGTTGTACCCCTCGGCTTATGGTTGCGCTTCTTCGCGCATTCGGTCGTCCATCGCCGCCGTTCCTCCTCCCACAAAAAAAAAACGATGTCCTTGCCGTACCGCCGTGCTGTATACTCCCTGTTCGCCCACCACCAATCGCTTCTTCTCCTCCCTCCCTTCTTCTTTCCCGCGCAGAAAACCTACCATAAGTACCTCCCACTGCTCCCAGATATGTTTTTGGCGCCTTCGCCCGCCTTCGCCCGCCTTCCCCGCCCTTCGTTGCTTGTTTCGCCCTTACTCTCCTCTTGCCCCCAGGGACTAGGTCCCACTTGCACGCATTAAGAGATATTGACCGTAGATAACAAAGATCAACGGCGGAAGTGTCCTACTTTGCACAGGTGGGACCTTGCCCTTCCGCCCTTGCCCCGGGGCAAGGTCCCACTTGCACTGATTAAGAGATTCGGGCCGTTGATCTTTGCTATCTACGGTCAGTATCGCTTAATTCGTGGAAGTGGGACCTAACGGTAGCCCCCCGTTCTTGGCCTTCTTCGCCCTTTTTCGCCCTCCTTCGCCCTTCGCACTCAGCCCCTCTTTGCACTTCGCCGCCTGTTTCGCGGTTCTTCGCCCTCAGCCCTTTGGCCTTCGCACTTTTTCTTTTTTTTGGCCAGGTGAAGTAGGTCAGAAAAAAACAAAAGGCGCCAAGCTGCCCCTTGCCAAGGGCGGCTGGTAAAAAAAACAAAACAAAAAAAAAAAGGGCGGCCGGGGCCTCGGCCCACATGCCAGCGAATAGTGTAGTTTACTAGTCCATGTGACGGTGTGGGACTGTTAGGAACTGTCGATTGTATTTTCAAGTGGGATTATGCATCCCGCCATTTAGGGCAGGGAGCCTTAAGGCTCCCTTTTGTCATTGGTTCTTAGAGGTGGACCCCACCGCCCAAAGTCTGGAAAAGGCAGTTTCGGTGGTAAAGCGACGCGGAAGTCCTGGAAGGTTTCGGAAAAGAAAAGACGGGTCCTGGAAGGTTTCGGAAAAGAAAAGACGGGACCCCACCGAAGTGCCTCTTTTCCAGACTTTTGGAAGAGTTCTTCCAAACTTTCGGACCAGTTTGGCTGTTTTGTCCGCCGTCGAAGCCCTGGTAGGCCGTGGTGGACCTGCGGGGTGGCCGCTGACGGGTCGTGGGTGACAGCGGCTTCGTCCGTCCGCCCGTCCGACCTCAGGCTGGGTAGCACCGTGCGGACACAAAATGGACCTGCGTGATCTTCCAAGTCTGGAAGACGTAGGGGGATGCCCCCCCCCTACCCCTTGCGTTTGCCACAAAATTTTGGCGAGGCTGACGTGGACAGCCGTTTTCCACCCGGAAAAGGACTTGGAAACTCTCTCTTCTCTTTTCCAAGCGCCACTTTTCCCGGCGGTGGGGTCTGGGAAATATAAAAAAAAGGACTTCCAGACACTTTTCCAGAGGTTGTGGGGTCCGAGAGAACACCAGGCGGAAGAGTTCTTCCGAGATTTTCCCCTGTGGGGACCACCTCTTAGTTGCTTTAGGGGTCCCGTGTGGAATGGAGGGAGAGGGAATACGGTGTAGTATACTAACCTCGTTTTTATGGCGTAGAATACTACTCGCTTTTGCCTCCTCGCCTACAGCGAGTCTCACCAACTGCTCTAGCCCAAGGCATACTCACACTAGCCTTTGTTACTTATGTATGGACAGAATTGTCGGCAGATGCATACAGGTTCGGTCGTAAACGCCGTCAGATACATTAAGGATAGTGCTACTGTGAGTGTGCCCTCAGTTGGTACACCCAAAGGAGGTCCGTCCAATAAAAGGTCTCGCTCCACTACTATCGAAATGTGCAAAACGAGAATGAATCTTCTGCTAGAACACAAAAAGATACACCGCCACATTTTTTTGTCTTTTGTGCGTGTCGAGAGTAGTGGAGCGACGCCCAACTGCACACAAAGGGCCTCGCCCCACTACCGTGGATGTGCAAAAAGGCGAAAATCGTGGTCAACTTTGAAAAAATGAAATAACGAAAATTGTGGAGGTGTATTTGTCTATGTTCAAAATCACGTTCGTTTCCTGCGTAGATGGTGATTGCACTATTTGCTTCTCGCCTTCGATGGTTTGCACAGAGAGGAGAGTAGCGGACCTAGACCCAGGCGCCAAACGCACATGCTGAACTGCGTTCGTTTCTCGCCTTCAACTGTCACACAGACTAGTAAACCATACTATTCGCTGGCATGTGGGCCGAGGTCCAGGTACCCGGTAGTGGCTTGAATTTGTTTTTGTCGGAATTGAACTCATGACTTGGCAATCAGAAGTCCCGTCGTTGTCTGTGTGTCATGATTTAACCACATGAGCTTGGGCCTCGGTGCACTACTCAACGTTGTATATGCATTTGGACATATTTCACCAGGTTCGTTCAGAGGAGTCCAACATTCAGAATGTATCGGGAGGTTTATGAGGACCAGATACGTATAGAGTGGTCTGTAGTGGAGCGAGGCCCCTTGTACCAACAACGACGGCGGGAAAACTGTGCAAGGTCGCTGGATCCCCGCCACCCTCCATGCGCCCGGCGGGGTCCCTATGGCGCGCTCTTTCCATTTCTGGCCGCTGTCGAGCACATCGGTCCGGCACCGCACAAGGCAGCGCGGGACCCTCCCGACCTCGTCACTCAGGAGTTGGTTTTAAATCCTTCGTCGCGAATATACATGGAGCTTCCGCAAGCCGCTCCGGCCTAGTGCGCTAGTCATACCTCCCACGAGCCCCAACGAAGGATAGGGCCTACGTGAGGCACGACTTACCTCCACCTTACGGGAGCTGTCACCTCCCTTCGCTGGGCGTATCCCCGTTGAGCTACCAGTCCACAGTACGAAAGTTAATCAGTTGCAATCGCAGAGGTGGACCAACCGAGGGCGTTTCTCGTTTGCTGTAGCATAGGGGGTACGCGTGGTAATACGCCTCTATCGGACCCGCACGCGAACCGACATCTTGGGGGGGCTGAAGTCCCAAGCGCGACCCATCGTCGGTCGACTAGGACATATCCCACTCGCCACGTGCACACCACTCTACAAATACAAAAACAAAACACATCCACATCCATATCAACAATCGCGACAACACTCCTAGTCCCTTCAGTAGCCGTCTCATAACTTTTTGATGCGAAACTCGAATAGGTGACACGCGCGAGACTTAGTATAAAACCGTGCGGACGCAGGGCCAACTCATATCGACTCGCAATGCAGGCGTACGCAAGCGGTCGCAATGATGGCGTACTATGTAGTACCCATACTCGCGCGGTCCTCGTTAATCTCGAGGTTCGCGTTCGACACTCAAGTATCGGCTGACACGTGCCTTGAGGGTTAATCTCTCGACGCTGGACAACCGCCAAGTGCGGTTGAGAACCACACCCTCTTCTGCACCTTGCGGAGAGCGGGTGGTACATAGGTTCATACCTATGTTTGCAATCGTCTCTTATCGCCTTGGAGACCAGCTCCGTCATCTAGGGTCTAGAAAGGAGTCAAGGGGTTTGACTTTGATGGCTGCCACGGACTATGGCGTCCAACCATAGAAATCTAAAAAGCAAAGGATAACAGGGGATCTCCCTCTTCTCTCAAACACACGATCTCTTTAGCCCTTACACGTGGTCTTAGTAGACCGCGCGAAACACTTAAGACATATATATATCACATAAATATAAATGGTTATTAATATGTGACGATCACTTCTCACAATCACAGTGGAGCTCCTCTCAACCATATATATATGTATGTGAGCCGAAGCAGTTAAACTTCAAAGTCCGAATCACCAAACATACCTGCAATCACATCAAAGATCTCACCAAAAGTCCAAACACTACACGGGGTCAACTTCAACCATTCTCTGCACTCACACCCCTTGCTTTTAGCCATACAAGCCTGACGCTTGTGCAACTCCTCAAAATAAAATACTCAGTACTTTTTTTTAAATGGTCATTCAAAATAAAGTCCGGGTGAAAACACAATAAAACAGTTCAAATCACAAGGCTAAAGCTTTTAGGTTGAGTGGCAGGAGTGAATTGGAGTTGAATCGTAGACCGACAAATCGGCAACCGACCTGTTATCAGTGATAACAGAAGGTGATCCTTGTAGGATCAAGCTGAATCTAGCCCAAATCTTGAATCAATCGGTCAAGAGGACCTGTAATACAAGACAGGTCAATCCCCACGCTAAACCTAGAGTCCTTGGAGAATAAACCCCATATCACGATCTTACTCAAAATTTTTCTAATGGACTAAGCTTGAATCTACCTTTAAGCAGTGCCCAAAGCAAAGTTAGACCCTGACATAATCTCCCCTATCCAGAGTGGATCGCCAGAATCGTCACCTGTCAAAATATAATCTATCTCCTTTTAAACTAAGAAAATTTCGGCAGCGCTTCCCGTAGGAAAAATGTCTTTTCAGAATTTATATCAACCCGAATATGAAAGCAGAAATAGTCTTCAATTTTTCAAAATCCAATTTTGTCTAACTCTCTGAATTAACAAAAATTTGGGCAGCACTCCCTTTAGAAAGGGAAACTTTTCAAATTTTTACTAAGTCATATATGAACTTAAAACAAGTTGAACTTTGAAAAGTCAAAATTTGTTTCTTTTTAAAAAAAGGTCCAGGGTGTAGTAGAGGGTGGCAGCTAGACCTCAGGAGATCCCCCCTGTACTCATTCGTTGGGAGGCCTGATGGGTTGCAGGATCCGTAGGGGATTTTTAGACTCAAGGCAGCACCACCTAACCTATATTATTGCTCAGCTAGCAAGTTGTGACCTGCGCCTGCGCTTACCGGAGTACGCCCGAACGCTAATGCAGATATTGACAAACTCCTTGGATTTGCAGAAATTTCGGCAGCGCTTCCCGTAGAAAAAGTAGATTACCAAAATTTATACAGAGTCAAGTGTAGTAAAAAAAAAAATCTCAAAAAATGCGAGAATTGATCTAAGTAAAAAAAAAATAGCTCAGAAAATGCAGGAATTAAAACTAACTCCTATGACTCTAGCACGTGGTGAGCGACTAAAGCAATTACCTATCAAGCTGAAACTCAGACTAAGTAGTAGCCTCACTCAGTCACATGCGGACCAAACCACAAA